GTAAATGTTTATGAAAATTAATAAAATATAATTATAGGAAAGAAAAAGAATAGCAGAAGAACTGATAATTTTGAATTTTGGTGCTGGAGAAGAATATTTAACATACATCATGGACTGCCAGGAGAACAAACATATCTGTACCGGAGAAAGTGAATCCAATTTTCTCCTTGGAGGCAAGGATTTTAAAGCTCCATCTCACATACTTCAGGCACGTGACAAGGAGGGACAAGTCTTTGGAGAAGGACATCATACTTGGAAGGGTGGAGGGACAGTGTAGGAGAGGAAGACACCAGAAGAGATAGTTTGACACAGTAACTGGAGTAATGGGGGTAGACGTGTTGGAGTAAGTGAGACTGACTCAGGGTAGGGCAGTCTTCAGAGTTATTGTACATTGGGTCGCTATGAGTTACAGGTGACTTGATGGCATATAAAAACAACATAATATATTGCTCAGTATGTTTTATGTGTTCTTAGTAGAAACACTAGTGCTACAATGAATAATGTGTCAGGCTGCTAACCAATAGGTCAGTGGTTCAAATACACCAGCCTTTCCATGGAAGACAGTGAAACTCCTATCAAGATTAATAGCCACAGATATCCAATAGAGGGCAGTATGGGTCAGAAACAACTCAATGGCAGACAGTCTGAGACACAGACACACTCTCCTGAACAATATACCTCTTTAGCGACTATTCTAAGACATAATGATTGTGTACAATAGTCTCTCCCCTTAAAACGATATTTTCTTATTACTACTTAATTAAAAGATGAAAAATACTACTGTAAAAATTATTTGAGGATATCAGAACCACACTATAATCTGTTGTTGTTGTTATGTGCCGTTGAGTCATTTGCGACTCATAGAGACACTTTAATAATGTTAATAGTTTCAAGGATTTTTCTATGATATTTAGTATGGATTTTTAAACACAAATTCATTACTTACCACAAATATTGGCACCCATTTTGACGTAGGCATAGCCATCTATTCCCCAGGAATTTCCCCACGAGTTCCGGACTATCCAATATGGAACACTTCCTTTAAAACACAAAAGGATAACGAACACTGAAAAACTCACTGCGAATGTATGTCTTTAAAATTGGGGTCTAGAGCAAGATAGTAGCTCTGAAATAGATTTAAAATATAATTTAAAGCTAATTTAAACTAGTTAAGTAAACCTGAGCTACAGGTAATGCAATGGTCGAAACAGGAGACATACATGTTTAAGTCCTCTTAATGCAGGCACTGTTTAAAGTGGAAACAGACATACATTTCTAGTTAAATAAGAAAGAAATGGTAGATATATTTGATCCAATGACAAACATTCTTGTTTTCTAGAATAATTACTATAAATATTTCAAAGGGGTAACACATGAATTATCTGCATTTTAACAAGGTATCACAGGGGAATCTTACACTTAGAAGTCTATTGAGAAGCTGGGAAGCTTCTAATATTGACAATGTGAAAAGATAGGAAAGCAATCAGTACATACCTGTTTTATCAAATCCTGTTATAAGAACTGCATGATTTGCTTCTCCACTAGAGCAGTGATGCTGTATTATGCCTCCCAGGTAATCTTGCCAGCTCATAGCATCTACTGTAACTACCAAAGGACCAAAGGAAAGAAGTGTTTTTGCCATTTCATCTTCTTGATCACTACCAAAAAACAAACAAACAAAAAAATTGGCTAAGGAATTTGCTTTTCAGGTTAAAAAAAAAAAGCCATTTAATCCGTGTGTTATAAAAGTTTGGCTACAACTACAAAAGTAGTAAAAAATAGAGGCTGAAAGGAATACTTCATTTCACTCGGATCTAAAATTTACACCTATGATCAAGATATCAAAAGGTGTTGCATCCCAGAAATCTGCTGTCAAGGACCTCTTCACAGTTTGAAAGAGCAAGGATGTTGGTTTAAAGCCTAAGGTGTGCCTGACTCCAGCAATAATTGCTTCCTATGCATCTGAAAGTGGGACAATGAATAAAGAAGACTGAAGGAAAATCTGTGCCTTTTGATCTGTAGTGTTGTTGAATTGCATTGAGAATCTCTTGATTGTCAAACAACCAAACATAACTGTCTTGGAGGGAGTGCAATCAGATTACAACTTAGAGACAAGGATGGTGAAATTTCACCCCACATACTTTGGGCATGTTGTCAGGAGAGGTCAGATCTGGAAAAAGATAACATGCTTGGAAAAAACAGTGTCAGAAAGGAAAACCCTAAATAAGTCTGATTGCCACTATGATTAGAACAAAAGGCTTGAACGGGATGTAAATCAAGATGATGGTGCAGGATAGGGCAAGGTTCTGATCTGTTTACTCATCAAGTCACTGTGAACCATAATCGACTCAACAACAACTAACAACTACAGAAGAAATCTAGGTTTTTGGCAGTTCAGCATTGGTATGAGGTTAGGGACATAGGCTCTTTAAATATTATTATTTTGTTTTGCTACCTGATGATTCTATTCTTTAAGTCAGTGCCTGGTCTGAGATAGTTGCTGGAGCTCCAGCTAATTAATATTTATTATAGCTTAGTCAAGGGAAAGGGTAAGGGTGGGAAAAGAATAGGTAGATAATGAGCATGATACTGGAATGAGTATAGATAAGGAAGGAATTAGAAACCTAGAAACCTTATGTATAACAATTAACAGCCTTAGGGGAGGAGGAGGGAGGAAACTGTGTATGAATAAATAAATAATAAAACAATTAAAATAAAGTTTTTTTTAAAAAACAACTACAGACAACAAAATGTTGAAGTGTACATTGCTGATGAGAAGACTTCCTAGAAATAGCATACATCACTTGTGATTGTATCTGCATAGATCCACTTGGCCAGAACTCAATCATGAGGGTCAACCTGACTTCTAAGAAAGTAGGAAATAAATCATGTAGTTGCATAATTCTAAAACAAAATTACTTTTAAAAGAAAAGAAGAAAAACTGGCTATTTGGAAGTATTGCACCATCCCTGCCAAACATTTTGAGAATTAAAGAGACCAACCACTTATCTTGTTCTTGTTTCTGTTAGGGGCCACTGAGTTGACTATACCTTGTAGTTACCCAATGAACAACAGATATAACTCAATCCTATCTTGTGTCATCCTCATCATCTCTGGTACACTGTGCCCATTGTTACAGGCACTGGATCAATCCATCTCACCCAAGGTCTTCCTTTCTTTCACTGACCTTCCACCTTTTCAAAATATGCTTTCCAAGGACCAATCCCTACTTACAAAATGTCTAAAATATATGAAATGAAGCTTCACTATCCTTGCCTCCAAGGAGCACTCTGATTGTACTTTCTCCAAGATATACTTGTTTTTTGGGAGTCCATGGGATATTCAGTACTTTTTCCCCAATACCACAGTTCAAAGGCATCAATTCTTCTGTCATCCTTAATCAATGTCCACCTCTCAGATGCATACCAAGTGACTGAAAATACCATGGCTTGAATCAGACACACCCCTCAGCTGGCATCATTGCTTCCAGTTGATTTGGAGAGGTCCCTGACTACAGACTTTTACAATGCAATAGGTCTCCTGACTGCTGGTATCAATTTTATTAATTGTGGACTTAAGATGAAATTGTGGAGAGGTTCCATCTTTCTCCACCTATCAGATGTTGTCTGTCAGTCCAGTGGTGAGGATTTTTGTTTTTTTTTATGTTGGCATTCAATCCATATTGAAGGCTGCAATGCTTACACTTCCATAACAAATGTTTCAAATAATCATCTGAACAATGCAGGTTATTGATGAACCTTCCTCAAATCCCAATGCCACATTTTTTCTTCATAGAGTCCAACTTAAATAATTTGTTCAGCCACAAATGAAATAGGTGTGGAGAAAGGCTACAACCCTGATACACATCTCTCTTAATTTTAAACCATGTAGAGTTCCCTTGCTCAGTTTGCACAATAGGTGCAAACTCTTGGTTTAGGTATAGATTTTACAGAAGCACAATCAATTGTTCTGGGATTTCTATTCTTCTCAGTGTTAACCATAATATTTTATTATATACACACTCAATTACTTAAAAATTGATAATTATAAATTATTAATATAGCTAAATGAATAGTAAGTACAGAAATGATCCAGACAGGTTACCTAAGGTATGACAGAAAAAATGTGAACATCATAGAACTAGGTGCTAGGTTTTAAAAATGTAAAGAACACAGGTTTTGCTCCAATACAGGTATTGATGAAATCTTAATGTATGCTATACAACATTCATCCTTTAGATATCTTAATACTCATTTCCATCAAGCCAATTCTGAAGGCTGCAATCTGCACAGAAGTACATTTGTTGTGATCTGTGCAGGAGTAGGCTGCCATATTTTTCTTCCATGGATTAAGTAGCAGATTTAAACTGTTGTTTTGGTGTAAAGGTTGTGCTATCCAGGCTCCTTCTCCATCTTGATAGTGCATGCTTTAGTCACTATTTACATTTAGTAAAAGGTCAGCTTTATGGTAAAATGGTACCAAGAACAAGTTGCTAATATTTAAGACCATTATTAAGATAGCATTAAGTAGTTTATTGCTATAGTAAACTATGGGTAAATTAGTGGTTTAACAGAGTAAATAATCCTTCAGCGTGCCCAGCTGGAGACTAGTTTCTATGAGAGAGATAATCTCTTTAGATACCAAGAAGAAAATTGCATCCACAACACAGGAATTCCTTGGAAAAGAAACTGTACACTTATTTTATACATTTATTCATATTACCTGTTAAACTCTGGTTTAGAACTCTCAAAGCAGGTGTTTCTGAATTTTGATGCTATAATAAATCAGTGTTTATTAAGATTATCTTTATACAAGACACAACTACAAAGTTCTTAAAAAGTATCACAGCCAAGTTGAAGTCTAGGATAAAAACAACGACAACAAAGCAAACAAAAAATTCCCACGGCTGAGGAATCAATTCTCATGGAGAACTGACTCATAGAGGCTGTAGGTGCTACAGTGTAGACCCTTGTCTGTAATCTTTATGGTAGCAAACTGTCAGACTTTTCTTCCATGGTGCTTCTGGGTATATTCAGATTAGTAGTCTAGCAGAATCCCTTTATGCCACTCAAATTTATTGCTACTAGTAATACTTATTACCATCTAATCTGCACTCATAGCTAACCCTCCATAGGTGACAGAGGCGGTAAATCACATGGAAGGAGATTTTCCGATCTTTTAAATAACTGTGATATAAATAATCTACAGTATTCTTTACCCTCTACATCTCCTCAATTTATACCTAGACAACAGAGACTAAAATGCTTTAAAAAATATAACATGCCTCCGGAAACTCTATGATCTTTGATAAATGTCAATAGTTGTGTGTGTG